TAAAATCATCACCATCGATCTGGGGATGCAACTCGTTGGTAGAGTCCATGCCTAGCATGCACCAAGTTCTGGCTTTCATTCCCAGCGCTGTCCAAAACTCTGGGCTTGGAGTCACATACTTGAGAGGTAGACACAGGGTGGTTAGGAGTTCAAGGTCATCCTCAGGTACATAACGAATTTGAAGCCAGCCTGGGCTACAGGAGACCATGTATCCAAAAACAAAATAAAATAAAATAAAAATAAAAGTTGTTGCTATTTTATTAGAGTAAAAAGCGGCAGACAAGAACAAGAGGAAGAAAAATAACCTCGTGCCAAGGGGTAAAAATATCCCATGCTTGTTTTCATTTGGCAGGCGGTCCAGAAATCTGAGTGTACGAATTTAATCCTGCATGGATGAGTGCATCAGCCGGTTTTTGAATTAGAGGATAGCATTACTCAATCAACTAGACTAGTCCTTTCAAGAAATACATTTTGGGATGGCTCAGAGTGTCTCAGTTCTGAAACGAGGGATGTCAACTGTGAAGCCAAATTTAAATTTTCAGTTGTTTTTCCATCAACCTTTCCCACTCTTGCTACACTCTGAATAACGTGACTCCGGGAAGCATTTAATACAATGTGTCTCTGGTGTCTTCTGGGCTTTGGCAGGGTGTTCTGTCTTAATTACTGTGAGCCTGTCAAAATATAGACGGAGGCACTCAGGGAAGTGTGAGTACCACGGTATTTGTGCTATACCATTGGCTACTGAAGGAAAATGTTTACCCTGCTGGGGCAGAAGACTGGAAAGGCTGAGAAACCATGGGCTACACTTTGTCACACCCACACTTTGTCACACCCCTGCCATGCTCAGATTGCTGTCCCTCAGCCAGCAAGATCACTGGAAGACAGGCCTTCAAGGTGAAATTAGGTTGGACAAACAGTCTATGGCCTACATCAGGCATGTGCTTGCTTTCACATACAGATCATACACACACATCCTCAACCCTCATTCGTGTTATTGTTCCACCCTGGTCATTAGCACAGTCTTAAACATGTCCTTGCTGATACGTCCATGGTCAACCTGTCAACTAGAAAGCTTGGTCGATTTTTTTTCTTTAACCCTAGAAGACCTATCTATCACTTGGGTTAGCCCCCAAGCTCTCTACTACATACCAGGAGCACTTTCAAATGGAAGAGTATCAGTGAATTGGTGGCAGTAATACATTTCTGGTTATTTTCCCATGATTTAATATAAAGTCATTAAGTATCATTATAGCCAGCAGTGACCAAGATGTAATTGACATGAACCAGACTTTTGGACTCGCAGAAGATATCTCTCTCTCTCTCTCTCTCTCTCTCTCTCTCTCTCTCTCTGTCT